TGCTTCCCGCTCCTTCTTTCGCGACTGTACCACACTCACGCCGCTTAGTCGGCCGGTTCCAGTCTCCCTGGCGGACCCCTCCGGGGGTCCGGTCCTTGCCCACTACTCCACGGTTCTACCGTGTCCGGCCGCCCCGTCTGGCTTGCTGTCAGGTCTTTACCTCCCCTCGTTCTCTACGAACTTGGTGAGTGGAGCTGACCTCCAGGATAGGGGGGTGCACCAGTTCACTCCTGCGAGTCAGCGAGTGACTCACTGTACGTGTGCTCGGACCGGCCGACATCTGGCCACGTTTACCCGTGCGCCTGGCTCGAGTCTGTACACCCTGACCACTGAGTCCCCTCAGGTAGCTGCGTCTGCGTCTGCGTCAGGTCAGCCGACGGCCCCCTGCGAGTGTCGCGCTTTGTCGCACCAGACCCTCCTGTGGCACCACCGCCTTGGTCACCCCTCGGTGCAGCGCCTTCGTGGCATGCACTCTCGCTTCCTGGTTTCTGGTCTTCCCAGGTCTTTGCCTGCCCTGCCTCCCTCGCTTGCGCCGCCCTGCATTCCTTGCGTCGAGGGGCGGCAGCGCGCCGCTCCTCACTCCTCCTCGTTCCCTCCCACAGAGGCTCCCCTGCAGACTCTCCACCTGGACGTGTGGGGCCCCGCCCGCGTCCGTGGACAGGGCCACGAGCGGTACTTCCTGCTGGTTGTTGACGACTACACGCGTTACACCACGGTCTTTCCCCTGCGCAGCAAGGGGGAGGTCCCTGCTGTTTTGATCCCTTGGATCCGCGCTGCCCGTCTCCAGCTCCGCGAGCGGTTTGGGACGGAGTTTCCCGTCCTGCGTCTGCACTCTGACAGAGGTGGTGAGTTCTCCTCAGACCTCTTGGCAGCCTTCTGTGCGGAGCACGGCATCACCCAGTCGTTCACGCTTCCGGACTCTCCGCAGCAGAATGGGGTTGCTGAGCGCCGCATTGGCTTAGTCATGGAGGTCGCTCGTACCTCCATGATCCATGCGGCTGCCCCCCATTTTCTGTGGCCGTTTGCGGTCCGGTACGCCGCGCATCAGCTCAACCTCTGGCCCCGTGTCTCCTTGCCGGAGACCTCGCCCACACTGCTGTGGACGGGGAAGGTTGGCGATGCGTCGCGTTTCCGGGTCTGGGGTGCTTGTGCCTTTGTCCGCGATACCACTGCGGACAAGCTCTCCGCCCGTGCAGTTCCCTGTGTCTTCCTTGGCTTTGTCCCTGACGCGCCTGGTTGGCAGTTTTACCACCCCACCTCGCGCCGTGTCTTTGCGTCTCAGGACGTCACGTTCGATGAGTCGGTTCCCTTTTACCGTCTCTTCCCCTACCGCACTGCCCCTCTCCCTCCCCCGCCGCTCTTCCTCGCTCCGGGTGCTCCCCAGGTAGACCCCCTCCCCGCTCCCGGTCCTGCTCCTTCAGGTGTGTCTCAGGTAGACCCTCCTCCCTTCCCTGCGCCGGTCGAGGTCACTGGTGACTCAGGTCCTACTGGGGGTGGTCCTGCTCGGGGTGCTACTTCTGGGGGTGCTGAGCCTGGGGGTGCGGAGCTTGAGAGTGTGGAGCCTGGAGGTGCTGAGCCTACGTGTGAGGGGTCTGGAGGTGCTGGAGCTAGTGGTTCTGGGGCTGCTGAGGGTGCGGGTGCTGGAGGTTCTGGAGCTGCTGGAGGTCCTGGTGCTGGTGGCGCTGGAGCTGGTGGTTCTGGGGCTGCTGAGGGTGCGAGCGCTGGAGGTTCTGGAGCTGCTGGAGGTCCTGGTGCTGGTGGCGCTGGAGCTGCTGAGGGTGCTGGCGCTGAGGGTTCAGAGTCTGCTGTTGCGCGGTCTCCTTGGAGTAGCCGCCTTCGTCCACGTGTGCCTCTCACCTCACAGCAGCTGCACGACTGGTACGGTCGCCGTCAGGGTCGCGCTGCTGGAGCCCGGGGCTCTACTGCTGGAGGTACTTCTGCTGACGTCCCTGGAGCTAGGAGTGGTGCTGGTACTTTGTCTACTGGTGGTGCTGGAGTCGCTGGTCCCGGAGGTGCTCGTACTGGAGGTACTGGAGCTGCTGGGGCTGGAGGTGCTGGTTCTGGAGGTGCTGCTGCTGGAGACACCGAGGCTGGAGACCCTGGGACTGGAGGTGCTGGTTCTGGGGGTGCTGCTGCTGGAGACGTGGAGGCTGGAGACCCTGGGACTGGAGGTGCTGGTTCTGGGGGTGCTGCTGCTGGAGGCACTGGGGTTGGAGACCCTGGGCCTGGAGGTGTTGGTTCTGCTGCTGGAGGTACTGGAGCTACTGGAGGTACTGGAGCTGCTGGAGCTGCCGGTACTGGTGCAGCTGCGCCGCCACGACTGTTCTTCGCTCCGCCGTCTCCGTCGTCTCTGCCGCCGCCTGACTCTGTTCTTCGTCAGGTTCTTACTCTCCCGTCGTCTACTGGTCTTCCGTTACAGCCTGGCTCACCGCTGCCTGCTCCTTCTCCTTACACTGAGCAGACAGGTAGTCTTGCTGAGCGTCGTGAGCCTGCGTCGCGTCCAGTCTCGCCTGTTCGTCCTAGTCGTACCGGTCGTCGTGTTCCTCGTCCGCGTCAGCCGGCTGTCCCCGGCACACGCCTTGTAGCCCTGCGTCGGTCCCCTACTCCGGAGCGTACTCCTCTTCCGTCTCCCCCTGCGTCCTCTTTGCCTGTCGTCGCGGACCCTGAGTCTGACCGGTTTCGTGCTGAGCACCCTACTGTCACGCGTCTGCTAGCCACTGTTGTCACTGACCCGTCGTTTGAGTCTGCTGCTGCGTCTGCCTTAGTCGCTGAGCTTGTTGACTTTGCTGCTGCCTGTCGTCTAGACTACGCTGCTAGTCTTGTTGCTGAGTCTGAGTCTGTCTGTCCTCCGTCCGTCGGGGGTGAGTGTGCCCTTGGCACGGACGTCCTTGAGGACAGGCACGAGGACCTTGAGTCTCTTGCAGCCGCTGCGCCTCATCTCGTGGCCATGCTGCTTGCCCCTGAGGGAGACCCGGATGCTATAGACATCCCCACACCGCGCTCTTACGCTGAGGCGATCGCGGGTCCCTACTCTTCTCAGTGGCAGGCAGCCATGGACGCAGAGATGGCATCCTGGAAGTCCACAGGCACTTACGTCGATGAGGTTCCCCCTCCCGGGGCGAACATCGTCGATGGCATGTGGATTTTCAGGGTGAAGCGGCCGCCAGGTTCTCCGCCTGTCTTCAAGGCGCGCTACGTTGCTCGAGGCTTCAGTCAGCGAGAGGGAGTTGACTTCTTCCAGACCTTCTCTCCTACCCCGAAGATGATCACTCTTCGGGTGCTGCTGCACGTTGCCGCACAGCGTGACTACGAGCTTCACTCCCTTGACTTCAGCACAGCTTTTCTACAGGGCAGCCTGCACGAGGAGATCTGGCTGCGCCGCCCACCTGGCTTCACTGGGACGTTCCCTCCTGGTACCCAGTGGAGCCTCCGCCGGCCAGTCTACGGTCTCCGCCAGGCACCCCGTGAGTGGCACGACACACTGAGGACTACCCTTGCGGCTCTTGGGTTTGCGCCTTCGACTGCTGACCCTTCACTGTTTCTACGCACCGACACTTCGCTGCCGCCGTTCTATATCCTCGTGTACGTCGACGACTTGGTCTTTGCTACTGCTGACACTGAGGCCCTCGCCCTGGTGAAGTCCGAGCTGCAGAAGAGACACACGTGCACAGACCTGGGTGAGCTGTGCAGCTACCTTGGCTTGCAGATCACCCGGGACCGAGCACGCCGCACCATCACACTGACTCAGTCACACATGGTGCAGCAGGTCCTTCAGCGCTTCGGCTTCACCTGGTCCTCAGCACAGGCCACTCCTCTGGCTATAGGTCACTCGCTCTCAGCTCTGCCTTCGGATGAGTCCGTAGAGCCGAGTGGTCCTTACCCAGAGCTAGTGGGCTGCCTCATGTACCTGATGACTTGCACTCGTCCTGACCTTGCGTACCCTCTTGGCCTTCTGGCTCGCTACGTGGCTCCTGGTCGGCACCGAAAGGTGCACTGGGATGCTGCGAAGAGGGTACTGCGCTACTTGTGCAGTACATCGGGCATGGGGCTCATGCTTGGAGGACGGCGAGAGGTGGTCCTCACTGGGCACTCAGACGCTTCTTGGGTTGACGACCAGGCTACGCAGCGGTCGTCACAGGGTTACACTTTCAGCCTTGGCTCTGGTTCTGTTTCTTGGCGTTCTACTCGCTCGTCTTCTGTTCTCAGCTCCAGTTGTGAGGCTGAGATCTACGCCACCGCCATGGCTGCTCAGGAGTTACGCTGGCTCACCTACCTGCTGACCGACCTGGGAAAGCGGCCTCGTTCTCCTCCAGTGCTGTACGTCGACAACAAGGCTGCTATTGCCTTGTGTGAGGAGCACAGACTGGAGCACAGAACGAAGCACATCGCTCTGCGGTACTTTCTGGCTCGAGAGCTGCAGCAGCGTGGTCAGCTTCGTCTTGCACACGTGGCCACTAGGGCCAACACTGCTGATATATTCACCAAGGCACTTCCGTCTGGTGATCATCAGCGCTTTTGTACTTTGTTAGGCCTTGTGCCTACGTTTCCACACTTGCTGTAGTCTTTTGTGTGTACTGTGTTCTATATTTATACCTGCATGCTTGCTCTTGCTAGGTATTGATCACTGTACTGCTCTTGTTGCTTATATATATCTCTGCATGTGGACTGGCCTTGCGGCCCTTTGTTTGTGCTCAGAATGTGTGGTGACGTTGAGATCCACCCTGAGCTTGCTTTGCGTCTCTTGACTGGTCGTGTGACCCCTTGTTCTCCCCCACTTTGCCTATGGGGGTGTGTCAAACATGTATGCTGCATATTGTCTAGGCTGTAGTGGGGTAGCCCATATGGGGTACAACCAAATTAGGGTTTCCTACTTGTACTCCTGCATGCTGTTAGTTCATCATTCCTGCTGCCAGATTCTAACAAAGATTGCGTCTGCTCGTGGCCGCTCCTGGCGTGCGCCGTCGCCTTGCCGTGCGTGCGACGCGCACTATCGGCGAGCAATGAGCTACTTCGAAGAAGATTATCAGTGTCCCCCCTCCACCGTCACCCTCGCGCAACGAATCCGCAGCTTCGCATGGCTGACGAAGCAGTTCCAAAGCCCTTCGCACTTCAACTTCACTCTCACTGAAGCGCCTCCCCGCATCGTTTCCTCCCTCATGCGCTCCTGCCTGTTCCCCTCCCTCTCCTCCATCACCTCCCTCGATCTCTACCTCTCCCGAAACATCCCCTCCCATCCACGCCTTCTCTTCTCGCTCTCGCAAGCGCCGCGCCTCGATTCACTTCTTATTGAGCACGTTGCGCCGGACAGCGAGGACGACGTGCCGCAGCACCACAGCAACGATCCTGTGATGGTGGCCGAAATGTGGGAAATAGTTTCAATCATGGAAGAGAAGAAGCCGGAAGACACGGACAGGTTATTTCCCGTGCTGTCTCACCTCGACCTCTCCCTCTCCGCCTGCTCGCCTCTCGTCCTCCGCTTCGTCTCCTGCCTCTCTGCCCAGCTTCAGTATCTCTCTCTCTCTGCTGAAGATCTTTTCGCGCCTAAGGAGGGCGAAGAGGCCGCTGAAAGCGACGAGAACGCGCGTGAGAGGGACGCGGACGGGCGAGAGTCCTTCACTCTTCACCTCCCGCTGGCCACTAATGTCAGACTCGACAGGCTCAACTGCTCTATCTCGCTCTCCGCCCCTCGTCTCTCCTCCCTCGGTTTTCACTGGCAGTCCCACGATTCCCGCCTGCTCCTGCTCCTTACCTGCCCCGCACACCTGACATCTCTCTTCCTTCGCAGCGACCCGACCTGCCCTTGGGCATTTCACGCGCCTCACCTCACCTCGCTTCACTCCCTCTGCACCGATATGGAGCCAGAGCAGGAGGCATGCCTTCCGCCGGGTGTGATAGAGACAGTCAAGATCCTAGAGTGGCGAAATCCTATGGATTCCCAGTTGCTGGACCTGAGTGCTTGGCACGGCCTGCGCTGCCTTCATGCTGTAGGCTGGGCCCCGGTGCCTCTGTCGGTCTTTCGCTCGGGTGAGCTCTGGCCTTGTGACTTGGAGGGGATGTTTTTCTCGAGTATTGGGAGCGAGGTTATGCGGTTTCTTGAGAGTGGGTTGGGAGGAGGCGATGGGGGGGAAAGCTTGGGAACAAGGAGCCCTGGAGGGGAGGGCACGTTGAGAGACCGAGGTGAGGTAGGCATGGAAACAGGAGGTTGTTCAACATTGGCGGAGGAAGGCAGTCGTGCGGATGCTGGGAACGGGGATGCGGATCGGGAAAATGGGAGGAATCTATTGACTCGACTGCTACCGGGATGCAGAAGTCTGCAGCGGTTTGAGGGGTGGGATGGCGAGGAATGTGTGTTGTATGTGCTGGATGCTGCTGAAGGGCTGAGTAAGGAAGTGGGGGGCGAATCAGGAGATGGTTTTACGAAGAATTGCGGTAACAAGCGGAAGTTTTTGAAAGCTAGAGGAATTGCGGATTACCGGTAGGTGAGACTGCTTGAATCTAACATAGGGTGTGTGACTGATTGCTTTGTAGACATATTTAGCTAGCTGTCATAAACATAAGTCAGCATCATCTGAATTTATTGTGAGATGTAATGATGTAAACAATGCCGAGCTAAAACCATCGAGAACTACTGTGCAATGAAGAGTGGGCCGTAATTTTCCCCTTCCCCCAACCATTCAAGTTTCCAAGGCGTGAACACCTCGGAGCTAAGGATGACATCGGAGCTGCTCTCAAACCGCACAATAGGTTCCCATGAAACAGCTCTTTTCAAATCAGCCGCATACGGGCTCATCCTTCGCGGGTCGCTTGCAGTTGGGCTATCCATCCACGCTAGTAGAGCCTCCTTGCCGCCACGCATATCAGCGCCTGTCGCATCCGTTACATCTGCCGCATCCGTCCCATCTGTTCAATCGGTCTAATCCATTTTCCGCCAGAGTGTGACTACCGTTCGCCGCACCGTCTCGCTTCGCACGCTTTTTTCACCTCCTCGGTCAAACTCCTTTCCAGTTCGTTCGACCTCCTAAGAAGCAGTAATTTGGATAAACCATTAGCAGAAAACACTATTTACTGATTAATTCTAATTTCTGTGGGCTCAGCGGCTTGCCGAAGCGGTCTTGGAGGCGGACGAGAGAGTCGAGGATTGGGGAGCAGCCGCGGCGGGACGACATGTGGCCCTTCGGCAATTCCGGGAAGCAGCAAGGTGGGCGGAGGGAGGCGCGTGGTGTGGAGAGTGGAGAGGAAGGGGAAGCGGGAGGGGGTGAATGAGAAAAGCGGTTCTCGCACCTCTGTTCACTGCACTCTTAAATTTCCTTCTTGCTCCGCTGCAGCTCTGCCTTTGCGTCACGAGGGGGGAAGGTCCTACTACGACGTGCAGCCTGGCGACAACCTGACAAAGATTGCCGGCCAGCTGGGAAGCACCGTGGAGATTCTCATGCAGGTAATGATCGTGCTGGCCCGGTCTGTTGGGGTAGAGAAGAGGGAGTGTTTGCAACGCAAAAGCTCTGCTGTCTGCTCCTTTCACCATGTCCCCTGTTAGTTCTTGTTGTCAGATTTTACTCCCTTGAGTGTGCTCACCCATGTTCTTTCCATGGAGTGCTGGCAGGCCAATGCACTACGCTCAGACCTCATACACCCCGGACAGAGCCTCTGGGTTCCGCGCACATATACCATTGCAAAGGTGTGTTTCCCCACATACACCATCGAAAAGCTTTGCTCTGCACACCATGACCCATGGTATGTGCACTCCGCATGCTGTTTTCTGTGAACCTTGTTCTTGCTGTTTTCAGCCATAGTTCTGCTATGTCATAGATACTGTCTCCTACGTTGCACGGACTGTGAACGTGACACTGTGAACGTGCAGGGTGACACTTTGTATGCCATAGCTCGTATGCATGGAACAACAGTGGATGCGATTATGCAGATCAACAACATTCAAGATGCAAATCTGATTCGTACAGGTGAAGTATAATTCCATCACTTGCCCCTCTCACCCCTCTCGTGCTATGCTCTGTGAACCTCTCTGCTCCTTTGAAGATGTAAATTTCTGTGTTTACTGCAGGTGACATAATTTTGTTGCCATAGAAGGGCTATTTCTATTTGAGTGCGTTTGATGGTAAATAGATTGCAACATGTAGAGTACCCCACTTTTTCACAACTTTTTTGTATGATAAATTCATGATGAGATGTTGTTTATTTCCTATATTGAAGTGGAGCATTGGACAACTGGATTTCACAGTGGTTGGGAAAGACCTGGTGCTCAGCCTGGTTGTGTGGCTCGTTATCTCTCACACCTGTCTGCCATGAACCCGTTGCTCTCATAGTACTACGATAAGTCCAGCAATCTGTATTCACTTGTGATGTTGCTTATTGTTGGGTATTCGTGGGGTGCACTGGAGTGCGTGATTTGGAACGTCAGTCACGCACTGGTCCTTGCCATGCCTCGTTGATTCGTCCCCACAATCATTTGTTACGTGCCTGCGGGGCAAAGGCTGACAGATTGTTAGGTTCGGAGATATCGTTTGGGGAGGGTTGATATTGGGGTGCAGAACATTTATCGTGCTTCCAAATGTACCCATTTTCAGGAGTGTGGACTCAACCGTAAGCGCATGTGCTGTAGTCGATCCGTTAGTCAAGTCACCTTGTCAAGTCACCCTGAAAGAGTCAGCATTCCCGTTCAGGTTAACCATACCCGGAGCTAAGCGGTCATGTAGTTCCCTTTTTACGTGGTACCCAGGAAAGCTATCCCTACGTCGTGACTCAAGCCAGAACGCCGGAGCTGGCGATAGATTTGGCGGAGAGACTCAGCTTCGGCAAGACGGACGACGTGGAATCCCGCTGCTGTTTCGGATTTGGCAAAAATTAAGTAGCCCGTTAGGTGCAGCCACGTAATATGACAACCAGGAGGTTGGTGTTTCCAAAGCTAAACTCCCCCCAAAATTGCGCAAGCATTCGGGCAGGACGCATGAAACTGCACCTGTTTCTTCCTCTTTGTTTGTTTAGTTCGAAAATTTGAACTGACCAAACCTGACTCCAGCAGCTGCTTTCCTGCATGCGATGCGCAACAAGCAGTGAGATAGCAAGATGCTGGACTTCGCTTCGGCCTCCGCTGGCCCGAGTCAAAGAGACTGGGGAGTGGAGGAGACTCTCCATCGAGGCAACTTGTTGGTGCATCTGACGGGACTGCGGCAATCCCAAGGCAAGGCACTCTCCCTCCCCTCAGCTCGGCATTTATGCTTCCCGCCACTTCGAGACAAATAGGTAGCGTGTAGTGAGCTATCAGGCGCAAGCCGCGCTGAGCCAGCCATTGGCCACAACAACAACACACGACACAAGGTCGCTAAATCAGGAAGAGGAGTTTCCGAGAGAATTTGAGCCTTATAATAGCTTTTCGTGCGCTACGAGACAATGCTTCGTCCTTACCGTCGCCACTATTTCAGGCTGGTTTTTTTCGGGTTGCAACGTAGTACTGTTTATTCTCGTCCCTCTGAAATTCGACCAAGTCTTAGGAAGCATCCTCGTTCCAGCTTAGGATTCTCCAGGCCTGCACGCGCGAACTCGCAATTTACGCATTGACCTTTGCCTGAGTAACTACACACTGCTATTAGGACGGAACCAGCTCCACGAATATTGTGTTTTACTTTACCTGTTAGGTTCTGCTTGTCGTCGTCCGCGCAATAAAATACCCGTTATCCGCACCTGTTACACATCATAGACTCCTGTATCGTGTTTCCGCGGTGCCTTCGTCTCTGTGTTTTGCTCTCGTTGCCCCATAACATTCCATCTAACCCTAACTGGCCATCGACCGTGCCTTGCCTTCTCTCCGACCGCGTCAACCTCGTCCCCCTAGTCCCTCGTTAACCGCCATCACACCGTTGTGCGCCGTCGGACGTCTCGTCAGCTCCCTCCCATCGTTGTTCTCTCCGTCGCCCTCACCCAGTCGTGCCACACGCGTGGGTAGTCCCCCGCCTTCCAGTCTCCTCGCCAGCCACTGTCGTGCGTCGCTGCGAAATCCAGACCAGCTAGCAAAAGCAATATCGCGAGCCCGTGGTTTTCTTCGCACGCTTCTCGCGCTCACCGCTTCCCCATCACCAGCCGTTTCCGCTGGCGTAGCTTAGCTCCGTGATTTCAGGGGCCGTGAGACAAAACAATGATGTCAGGGTCACATACGTGCTGATGTCAGCGTCGCAGCGAAAGGGACAGGCCAAGCGCCATGGAAATGGCCCTTCCGGTAGCGCCGGGAGCTAACCAGCAGCCGCTCCTGCCGCCGCAGGCGCTTCAGAATCAGCACCAGCGTCAGCCAATCAGAAAGAAGATGTCAAGAGACCGAGGCGCGAGGTTGATTGAGGAGAGAGCAGTGGGAGCCGGCAGGGAGGGTACGGCGGTCCTTAGGCAGTCGTCGGAGCAGCGGGGTCAGGAGCCCGGGGGTTGCGACGGTGCGAGGCAGCGAGGGGAGATGGTACCGCCTGTAGCAGGGGATGTGATGTTAGAGGGGGTGAGTGTAGCCGAGAGAGGTTGCTGCGACGGTGGGGAAGCGAGGAGCGTGGAAATAAAGGAGGAGCAGCAGGAGTGGGTGGTGGGGAAATGGGAGGAGGCGAAAGAGGCGAAGAAGGGGGAGGATGCGAGAGTAAGTAGTAGTCACGAGCAGGTGCAGGAAGGAGGGGACGAGGAGGGTAGAGTGAAGCAGGAGCAGGGGCCGTCGAGCACAGGTGATCAGCAGCAGCAGGACAGGGATGCTGAGGCGAGAAGACAAGGCCAGGGTGGCACGGACGCGGTTGCGTTGGACGGCGAATGGGGCGAGGGAGGCGACGGCGAGCAGGTTGTGTACAGGCTGTGCAGGGTGGACCCCGTTGACCGCGTTGACTCCGTTGACTTCCTTGACGCCGTGCCCATATCGGAGCGCGAGCTGGAGGAGCTTCAGGCGTGGATGCTCCGCCATGCGCCCGACGCGCTCGCCCTGCCCCTGCCGCCCGGGGCGGTGGAGGCTGCGGGGGAGGCGGACATGGCGGAGTGGTTATCAGGGGAAGGATTAGGGTTGGGGGAGGAAGGTGGTGCAGGTGAGGCGGACGAGCCCCCCCTGGCCTCCCCGCCTCTTCCCTGGTCGGGTGGGGAGGCGGGAGTGGTAGGGACTGGGCAGCCACGTGGCAGGTCGCTATTGGCCAGAGGGCAGGCACGAGGAGAAGGGCGGATAGGGAGGGGCGTGAAGACGGAGTTAGGATTCGGGCCAGATGACGTGAAGAGTGGGCAGGACGGCCGGTCAGGTCAATTGAATCCCCGTGCGGCCATTAACGGCGTGCTTGCTCTGCCAACCAATGAGACGAGGACAGGTGTGCACGCGCGTCAGGAGTTTCTGGATTTTCTCCTGATGGAGATTTCGCACCACGAGCTCGCAGTGGGGCAAAGTAGCGCAACCCCTCATCATCATTCCCGCGCCGACCTCTCCTCCCCTCATTCGCTCCCCCCTCCGCCCCCCCAATCCCGCCATCCAGCCCATGACCAACACCATCCCCCCTTCCTCTCCGCCCCGCGCTCCATTCCCGCTCATGGGCGGGTGGGGCGGCCAAGGGGAGCTCTGGGCGGGGTGCGGGGGCGGAGGGGGAGAGGGAGAGGCGTGGGAATGGCTCGACGTACTACAGATGGCGGCGCTGGTGGTCCAGGGCTCGCGGAAGACGCGGGGGAGCCGCACACTGCAGCCGGCGCAATAGTAAGGGGCGCGGGGGAAGAGCAGGGGGCGGACGGCGGCGCACAAGGGATGGGGGAGGAGGGGGAGGGAGCGAGCGCAGGGGGAAGGGCGAGGGTGGGGCGCCGCAGCAGGTGGCGGATGGGGGGCCGGGGGAGGGACGAGGAGGTGGTGTGGAGGGGATGGGGGGCTGCGCATGCCCTGTCAGGGGGAGAGGGAGGGGCGCAAGGAGGGCCAGCAGCGGGAGCAGAGGAAGGAGCAGATGGATTGGAGCGAGATGGTCAAGAAGCTGGAATAGGCGGGCATGGGCTAGGGTTAGGGTTAGGGTTAGGGTTAGAGGGAGCAGCGTGGGAGTGGTTAGGCTCTGGTGGATGGCCCACTCGGCCTCGCAGCAGGCGGGGTCAATCAAGTCAAAAAGTTCAAATAGGTCAAGCTGGCCAAACGGGTCAACGGAGTCAACGCAGTCAACGACCACCTGCTGCCACAGCCGCTGCCCTGCTTACTGAGGCGGGTGGGGCAGCTATGGGGCAGTCAACAGCTGGGGGGACTGGCGCCAGCGGACGAGCCTCAGCAAGCGCAGCCCTTGGCGCTGCCCCACACCCGCCCAGCCCGCGCCATCTCCGCTCCTCCCCCATTGCTTCCGCCCCCGCTTCCCCCGTTGCACGGCCTAGAGGGGCGCAAGGGGGGGCGCCGCCGGCGGAGGAGGGCAGGGGGAGGAGAGTGAGCGCGCGGCGGGGCGGTGGGCGCCAGGCAGCAGCGCTGCAGGCGAAGGTAGAGCCGGGGGAGGCGTCTTCTGATACTGCTGCTGTGGCTGCAGCAGTGATTGGCGCTGCTGCTGCTGCAGCAGGGGGAGCGGCGATTGCAGGTGTGTCTGCAGCTCCTGCTGTGGAGGCATCCGCGGGAAGGGGTGCGCGGAGTGGGAGTGAGGCGCAGCAAGTGGCGCAGCAGCAGGGCGGAGAGGCTACGGAAGGGGGGAGAGGGGGAGGAAAGAGGCAGAGATTGCAGTCTGGATGGCGGGCAATGGGGGAAGGGAGAGTGAAGCGGGAGGGGGAGGGGGAGCCGGAAGAAGAGGGGCGAGGGGAGGCTAAAGAGGCGGAGGGATTTTGGGGACCATTGGGAGGGGGGGTGCGGCAGGGGGGTGAGAATGCAGCAGCAGATGTAGCAGAGGAGAGCGGGGAGGAGGCAAGAGAGGAGGCGAGATTAGAGCGAGCGAGTGATGATGGCGACGAAGCTGATGCTTCAGGGGCTGAATACGCTGCAGTGGGCGCAGATGCCGCAGGTGGTGCCAGCGCTGCCGACACTGCTGTGAATGCATGTGTGTCTGACGGGGCTGGCGCAGGTGAGTGGAAGGAGGGGGGGAGCAGGGGCACACGTGGTAAGGGAGTGAGGGCAGGGCGGGGCAGAGGCAGAGGTAGAGGGCGAGGCAGGTGGAAGGTGGAGGGGCGGCTGGGAAGGGACGTGCCGGGTAGAAGGGCGAGGAGTAGGGAAGGAGGGGCGGGGGGAGAAGCGAGGTGGAAGAGCCGTGTGGGTGGGGAGGCAGAAGCAGGAGAGGAGGAGGACGCTGGCTGGGCGATTGACCTGAGGGAAGGGGAGGAAGCGGAGGAGGAGAGAGTGGGGGAGGAGAGAGGGCAGTCAGATGGAGCGAGGGGGATGCAGGAGATGGGTGCCGGGCGAAATTGGGTGGAAGGTGAGGTTGGGGGCAAGGGTGGGGCAGGGGAAGGGGCGGGTGAGATGCAGCAAGGGAGAGGTGGAGAAGGGGAGGGCGTGAGCGGGGTCGTGGACCCCTCAGTATCGCGGCAGCTGAGGCTGCAGCGACGGCAGCTGATTCAGAAACAGTGGGAGGAGCGGCAGCGCATGCAGCAGCAGGTTCGGCAGGCCGAGGCTCGGCGGAAACATGTTCGGCAAACACAGGGGGAGCAAGCGCAGGCTCGGGAGGGGCGGCAAGAGCCAGAGGAGGAACGTATGCAACCCCAGGGTGGGGCTGTGGCAGAGAGGGCAGCAGGTGGAGAGGAGGGCCAGACGATTGGGGGAAGAGACGGGGGAGAGGCGGGAGAAGCGGGACAAGGGGGAGGAGCAAGAGAAGCAGGGGAAGGGGGAGAAGGGGGAGAAGGTGGTGAGGTGCAGGATCTGAGAGCGAGCAGCGGAGGGGAAGACGTGGAGATGGAGGTGCGTGGAGGGGCAGTGGGGGCCGGCATGGTGGCAGGAGGGGGCAGTGCGGGGAGAGGAGGGGGAGAAGGTGAGCAACAAGGAGACGGGGAGGCGCGTTTGGAGGATACGGGGGTGGGTGGAAGGTCGATGGCTGGTGGCATAGCAGCAGGAGCAGCAAGGCAGAGGCATGTTGGGGAAGAGGAGGCGCAAGAGCAGCAGCAGAGAAGCAAGGGTGAGAAGGGGTGGCAGGTGGAGTGTGTGGGTGACGAGAGGCACTTGGTGGATGGTTCTGGGCGTGCTCTCAGACAAACGGACGAGGCAGAGGTTATGGAAATGGGGACAACTAGAGAAGGTGATGCGGAAACCTCTAAGGTGGTAGATGAAACGGTAGATGAAACGCATGTACAGTTACAGGTACTGACACGGACCGAGGAGCTGACAGATGCTAGGAACCAGACACGCGTAGGTGGGGCTGGTGGGACAGGGCCACGGATTGAGTCTCAAGTAAGTGAGACTGCACATGTACAGGTGGCACACGCTGACGTGGCACAGGCTGAGTTGGCTAAAGCTGATGCAGAGAGGGTTAGGCAGGACGAGGGAAAGGCGGGGCCCTGTGTTGAGCTGCTGGCGAGGAATGGAGTGCTAAGGGACGGAGCGCAGAAGAAGGTAGCGGAGAGGGAGGGAGTGGGAAGGGATGAAGTGGTGAGGCAACACAAGGGGCGGAAGGCAGGCGAGCAGCGGCAGGCAGGGCGGCAGAGGCGGAGAGGGAAGGGAGGGCATGGACTGCAGGGAGGGCAGCAGGCGCAGCAGGAGCAGCAGGCGAGTGGGCAAGCACAGGAGCAAGGCCGGGTGGACGGGCAGGCAGGGAGACAGGGGCGCGAGTTGAGTGGTGGGCAGGCGGGAGAGGAGGGAGGTGGTAAGAGGGACGGTGGCGGCAGTGGAAGAGGTGGGAACGGCGTGCTGAGAGGGCAGGCGAGCAGTAGTCCGCAACACATGGTGACATATGCTCATGCTGCTGACCCCGCTCCTGCTCATGCTGCTGATCCCGCTCCTGCTCACACTGCTACACACACCTTTGCTCACACTTCTGCAGCGTCCCCTCCACGAAAAGTGTTACCAACCGCACAGCTGCCTGCAGCGCAGCAGATTGCTGAAACGAGTCCTGGCTTGGCGGTTATTGGTGGTTGGAGTGAAGAGGCGCAAGGGAAGCCACACAGAGGGGAGGGGACAGAGCCGCTGCAAGGTGGGCAAGAGGCGGCGGGCACGCAGAGGCACGATGCGGCGGAAGGCCAGGGGCCACAGAGGCAGCAGGTGCAAGCGGCGCAGCTGGTGCAAGCGGCGCAGCAAGAGCATGGACGGCAAGAAGAGGACGAACGGAAGCAGGAGGAGCAGCGAGACGAGGGGGCTAGGGAGGTGGTGAAAGGTAAAGAGCGAGAGGAGGGGCCAAGGGACGTGGTGGCAGGCAGGCAGCGCGACGGACAGGGACAGGAGGAGGAGGAGCAACAGCAGCAGCAACAGCAGCAGCAACAGCAGCAGCAACAGCAGCAGCAGCAGCAGCGAATGTTGAAGGAGAAGCAGAGGCAGCAGCGGTTGCAGCAGAAGCGGCAGCAGATGCAGCAGAAGCAACAGGAGCAGCGGCGGCGGCAGCAGCAGCAGCTGGAGGAGGAGATGGAGAGGCAGGCGCAGCAGGAGCTGCAGCGGCAGCAGCAGTTTGGCCTGGCAGGCGTGTGGCAGCAGCAGGTGCTGCTGCAGCAGCAACAGAGGGCGCTGGAGCTGCAACAACAGCAACAACAGCCACAGCAGCAACAACAGCCACAGCAACCGCAGCTGCCGCAGCTGCCCCAGCAATCACAGCAGCCGCTGCAACAACCGCAACCGCCGCAGCAACAGCAACAAGAACCGCAGCAACAACAGCCGCTTCAACAGCAGCAGGTGCAGCAGCAGGCAGAGGCGGCGGGAGCAGGGGCTCAGCAGGTGCAGAGCATGCTGAGCGAGGCGGTGCTGCAGCAGGTGTGGCAGCAGGTGCTGCAATCGCGAGGTGCCGCCGTGGCAGCTGCCACGCTGCTGGAGCGACCTCAGCTGCTGGTTCAGCTGCTGGCCCGGCAGCAGGAGGAACGACTGGCTGCAGGAGGGGGAGCAGGGGCAGGGGGAGCAGGAGGGGGAGTAGGCGGAGTAGTAGGTGCAGCAGGAGTAGCAGGGGGAGGTGCAGTGGGGTCACATGGATTCTCACCTAGCTGGGATCAGCGCCAGCAGCAGCAGCAGCAGCAGCAAGAGCAGTTAGAGGGGGGGGCAGGCAGTGGTGGTGGTGCAGGGTGGGGCATCGGAATGGCACCAGGTGTGGCCGTACCCACGGGTGTGGCCGTGCCAACGGGTGTGGGAGTGCCAACGGGTGTGGGAGTGCCAACGGGTGTGGGAGGCAGCAGCCCTGTCACTAGCCCTCTCCGTGCACCTGCTGCCTTCCCCTTCACAACCCCTGCTGCTTCTGCTCCCTTCCCGTCTGCCCCTGCTTCCTCGCGCTCCCCTCTTTCTTCTCCGCCCCCTGCTGCTGCTCCCGCTCCTGCACCTGCGCTTGCTCCTGCTGTCCCTGCTGCCCCTGCTACTGCTGCCCTTGCTCCTGCTAATGCCAATGCTACTGCTGCGCGCGCCAGTCCCAACCACGTCATCAGCGCCAGCCCACTCTCCAGCCCTCTCCGCGGCCTGCCCGCCCCTCTGCCTCCTGCTGCTGCCGTTTATGCTGCCACTGCCAATATTGCTCCTGCTGCTGCTGGTGCCAATGCTGGCAATGGTGGCAGCAAAGGGAAGGGAAAGCGAGTGGGAGAAGCGGGTGGAAGCAGTGGGAAGGGAGGGAAGGGGAAAGGGCGAGAGGCAGGGGCAGGGGCGCACGGGAAGGAAGCAGTACCGATTGCAGGCGCTACAGCTGGTGACCCAGTTCATGCTGTTGGGAAAGCAGCTGCTACAACCGCGGCTGAAGTTGCGGCTACAGTTGCTACAGCTGCAACAGGTGCCACATCCAGGCAGGCGAATGCTATGTCTGGCGAAGCAGGAGGCACAGCTGACAAGGGGAGTGGATTAGTGAGTGGTGCTTGTGGGGGGTTTGGCAGAGGCGAGGGGAGAATGGAGGAGGCTGGCAGAGAAGCGCAAGCGGCAGCAGGAGCAGTAGGAGTGAGTGAGAGAGTATTGAGTGAGAGAGGAGGGAGAGAAGGGAGTGATAAAGTGCCGGAGAAAGGAGTGAGTGAGAGGAGCCGCAGGAAGAGGGTTCTGAACTCGAGGTACTATGAGGGGGGGTTTCAATACGAGGGTGACTATGTCGAAGGGGAGGAGGGGCAACCCTCAGAACCAGATATGGACTGGCATCCTACTGGTGCTGACGTGGCAGCAGCTGGAAGGGGAGGAGGAGTGGTAGGAGGGATGGGCGCGGGAGGTCATAGTGGGGACTATGCTGCCACATTAGGGTTTACTGTAGATGCTGACGTGGCAGGCATGGCAAGAGCCGTGATGGCCTGGGGAAGGCAGCAGGTGGGGGAGGGCGCTTCCTCTCTGCCCGATGCTGCCACCATGCCTGAGCCTGCTGCTGCTGCTGCCTGCTGCTGCTGCTGCAGGTGGCGGTGGTTGGGGAACAGAAGGGGAAGTGAGAGGAGCGGTGGGGGGGAAGGGAGCAGGCAGGGGGAGGGCAGGGGGGAGGGGAGTGGGGAAAGGGGATGGCGCTGCTGCTATGTGGGGAAGAGCAAAGCGGGGCAGGGTGGGCGAGGGCGGCTTGGAGGCTGCTGGGGGCAGTGCAGGGGAAGAGGCGGGGGAGGGGGGTGAGCGGGGGGAAGGTGGGGATGGTTGGGCAGGGGGGGTGGAGGAGGCTGGTGGAGTAGGAGTGTTGGCATCACAGGTTGCTGCTGCTGCTGCTGCTGCGGCTGTTGCTGCTGCCAAGGAGAGGCCTCCAGCAAAAGTGAGTGACAGTGCAGTAACCGCATGGTATGGTTACGGTGCAGTGTTGAATCTCGTTTGGTTCATGCAGCGGGCCGTGCGGTGGTTGCAGTCAGAAATTTCCGTTTTGGGCTGAGAAGGCAGGAAAGAATGCTTCAACCTTGCCAAGGATGCGTTTTGCTGAACCCCTGTCTGCTCTGCTTCCCTCCCTCCCTTTGGCAGAAGAGGAAATCCTCACTGTCATCGTCAGCAGCAGCACCACCACCAGTACCAGCAGCAGCCGGCGTGACGTCCCCCCAGAGGCAGCTGTTGGCTCAGCAGCAGCAGCAGCAGCAGCGGGCGGGTGGTGTGGCGGGAGGTGGAGGGAGAGGGAAGGGTGGTGGCAGGAAGGGCGAGGCGAGGTGGTCACGGACGTCTGCGGGTGGAGGAGGAGAAGGAGCACTAGGAGAGGAAGGGGGGGCAGCAGCAGCATCACTGGAGGGCACAGGACCAGCAGCAGCGGCAGCAGGAGCAGCAGTGGGAGGATTGGCAGCAGCAGCAGCAGCAGCAGTGGCAGGAGCATCACCCCGAGGCGCCACGCCACCAGGGGCCAGCCTGCTGGGGGGTGCTTTGGACGGGCCAGGGCCTTCCACCTCCAAGCTGCAGGAAGCTTCCTGGATGGAGCTCTCCAGCATGGTCGGCCTCTCCCCTGTGCCGGCGCTCACCCCCCTGCCTCCTGCCGCCCTTGCCGACCACCCCGCCGCCCTCTCCTGTGGGCTTGCCGCCCGGGCTCTTCCAAGTGGAACTGTGGGGAAGCAGCAAGGAGGGGGATTCGTGGACAATGGGGGTGTGGGGGGTGGGGCGAGAGGAGGGGGAGATGAGGGGTTGGTGGGGATGGCAAGGGGGGGCGGGGAGTGGGGGGGAGGAGGGGGCAGTGGGGAGAGTGGGGATGAGGTGGGGGCTCCTATGAGCCCCTCTGGCACACCCCTGAGACCTCCCTCCCTCCAGCAGCAGCAGCAGCAGCGACATGGGATGGAGAGGGGGAGTGTGGCAGCTGCTGCTGCTGTAACAGGTGGTGGTGGTGGTGGAGGGGGGACGAAGAAGGGGGGAGGAACAGCAGGGCGCGCGGAGGGGGGAGGGGGGTCGCGGAGGCATGGAGCATCTAGCAGGGCGGGGAAGAAGGCAGGTGGTTCGGGAGCAGTGGCAGGCGGAGCAGGGACTTCTGGAGCTGGGGCAGGGCTAGCGGCAGCAGGAGTAGCAGCGCCAGCAGCAGCAGCAGCAGCAGCGGCGTTTTCTGACTTTGGAGGGGTGAGCAGCGGTGGCAGCGGGGGCGAGGGGGCGGGCGATGCGCGTATGTACACAGCGAATGGGGGGCTGCGGCGCAAGCACCACCGGCCGTGGACGCTGAGGGAGGTGATGATCCTGGTGGATGGCGTGGCGCGGTGCGGTGGGGGCAAGTGGGCCGACATCAAGAAGCTCGCCTTCTCCTCCATTGGCTACCGCACTGCCGTTGACCTCAAGGTACCGTGTTGACTGCCGTTGACCTCAAGGTACCGTGTTGACTGCCGTTGACCTCAAGGTACCGTGTTGACTGCATGGGAGATGAATCTTAGCCTGCATCTCCCTTCCTCACCGCTGCCTCCTTCCTCTCTCTTGTCTGCGATCCAATCACGGCAGGACAAGTGGCGCAATCTGCTGCGTGCAAGCAAGATGGCGCTCCAGCCACCCAAAGAGGTACCATGCACATCAGGTCCCAGCATTCCCTGCCACCATGCACTACTTCCCACCGCAAGAAACATGTCTCCCCCCCCCCTGCTCCTCTACACTCACCTTCCACACCTCACCCTTGTGTCTCTCTGCCACCCCCTGCCCTTCCCCTCCGCTCCCCCTCCCTCGCCCTCACCTACTCCCCCCTCACCACCGCCTCCTTCGTCCTGGTGTGACTGGCGGGCGGGCAGCAGGGCGAGCAGCGCAAGAAGCAGGTGTCGGCGTCCATCCCGCCCGCCGTGCTGGCGCGCGTGAGGGAGCTCGCTCAGCAGCAGGAGGCGCAGACGCACCTCAAGCTGCACTCCACCGCTGCCGGGGGGGGCGCAGGGGGGGCAGCAGCGACAGGGGGAGGGGCAGGGGCAGGAGAAGGGGGGTCAGGGGAAGGAGGAGGGGCAGGCGGAGGAGGGGGTGCAGAAAGAGGTGGGACGACTGGGGCAGGGGCGAGAAGCAAGGAAGGAGAAGGTGAAGGACAAGGGGGCGCTGCTGCTGCTGCTGACCCTCTTTCTGTCCTTCCATCCCCCCTCTCTGCTGCTGCTGCTGCTGCTGCTGCTGCTGCTGCTGGAAGGGTTGGAGGGGTCGCGCCTGACCCTCAAGCACCGCCCCTGCATGCATCCACACCAGCTGCCAGCACCCCTCTCAGCCCCCCCCTGCACTGCCTCACCTCCCCTCCCTTCCCCTCTGCCTTCCCCTCCACTCTCTCACACCCCTCCTCTCCTGCCTCCGCACTGCCAAACCTGTTTCCTGCGCCTCGCTTCGGCCCGGACCTGACGTCTGCAGAGGAGGAGCAAGGAGGGTCGGGGGATGGGGGGAAGGAGATGGCAGGAGGGGGAGAGGGAGGGGAAGAGGGCTTTGGGGAGGGAGTGGACGAGGGAGAGTTAGAGGGGGAGGGGGAGGGACAGCAGGAGTGTGAGGAGGATGAGGAGCTGATAGGGCTGGCAGAGAGCTTCAGGAGCAGTGGGGATGCCATGGACTTGCCATCGTGGGCATGATACCTTTGACATGTGGTATGTGCAGGACCGTGAATCTGCAGGGCGGGAATAGAGTGCATGAGGGGCAAAGGCCAATGGGCCCGTGTGTGTGCGGATCACTCCCCTTCACACCTTACCTTCATCACCCTTGGCTTGTGAGTCGGCACCAGCTCTCCCAGGCTTTTCCACTGCTAGGAAAAGGGCCTGACACTTGCTACCTGCGTATTGGATATGCGCAGCAGCTGTTATTGGCTCTTGCGCTCCACTTACATAAGCCTTACTATAAACGGTATAGCTCTAATCTAATTACCTACCGTAATCATATTGGGCTTTGTGGTGGGTTACTGGGAACTGGAAGAAAAGGGTTTGGCCGCCCTTTTTTAGTATCCAGCATGTACAGGTAGCCAGGTGCCAGGATCTTGCCTTGGACTTGATATGAGTTTAGAATGTAGATAATCCTGTTGCATTAGTCGCCGTGGATGTCTCTGAAAGAAAGCATTGAGTCGAGCACCCAAGCAATCGATGCAGTCTTATAACGCGGAGTTAGCACTCGAGCAAGCACTCTTTCTAGAAATTGCCGAGCACCCGACTGCCATTCCGCTACTCGCAGGGCTCTGCGACCATACAAGCCGAGTCAACCTGAGGAACATTCAGAATTAATTTCACATGTTGTACGATCAGTCGCCATAGAAATACGTAAAAGCACGTTTTCACGGACTGAATTGTTCCGGCAGGTTTGCTATTCCGCGTTGGTCCGCCGCTTTACTGGGAACTTGTAAACCTAGCTGGTCGGCGGGCCGTCGCAGGCATGGCGGGATCGCTGTCAGGCGACGAGTTGGCGAACGGCAAGGCGCTGGTGCCGTTCCTGCAGCGCGCCGATGAGCTTCAGAAGCACGACCCGCTCGTCGCGTACTACTGTACGCGCGTTGTAACCCTAATCAAAAGGGCCCTCGTCCCCCACCGTGTTTCTTTCCCGTTAAGCGCGCGCCTCACCGACGCAGACGCTTCATCTCCGCGCGCCGTTGCCCCACGCCATGCACGCGGTGCTGCGGATGGGCGCGATAATACCGAAGAAAACAAAAGCAAAGAGAAGAACGCGTGATTTGAGTGCTTGTGCGTGCGTGGCAGGTCGGCTGTACGCGATGGACAAGGGGCTGCGCGTGCCCAGCAAGGAGCGCAGCCAGGCCGTGAACGCGCTGCTCGTCTCCATCATGGGCCGCCTCGAAAAGGTGCGCACTATGTAGCACCTCATGCGAATCTAGGCCTTTGCCCTGCGGCTCCCTTCCCTCCCTCGCCCACTGCGCAATGCCGACCCCCCGTACCCCTCCGTCGCGCCCCTTCCGCATAATCTGCTCCCGGCAGGACAAGGCGGCGCTGCAGCTGTCGCCTGACGACGGGCTGCACGTGGAGGGCTTCGCGCAGCGCGTCTTCGCCAAGGCGGACAAGCAGGACCGCGCGGGTCGCGCTGACATGTGCGTCGCGTGCTGTGGCGTGCCTTGGGGTGCTGGAGGCGCTGATAGGGCAGGCGCTGTTGTTATTCTGAAGGGGGTGCAATCTGTTGTGATGCTCATGGCGTGGGCAAGTGAAAGTGGGGTGGGGAAGGTGTTGGGCCGCTGTTATGGCAACGCATGGCGCCATGTGCTTGTGGTGCAATCCCTCTAACCCCAACCCAGCAACTACACTCACACGCTGTCTATGTTGCTCCATTCCCGCACACACTCCGTTACCCGATCTCAACGCATCCCCTACCCCCTCCCCTCGCCCCCGCGTGTGTCCCTCCCCAGGGGCACGGCCAAGACCTTCTATGCGGCGGGGATTTTTTTCGAAGTGTGTCGGCAGTTTGGGGAGCTCGCGCCTGAGGTAGGAAGGGGCAGCTCGCTCTCGTGCATTCCTTGGAACCTTTTGAGGATGGTCTTCCGGCGTAGGCCCCTCAATGACCAGGCTAGGCTCAATGCGTGCAACCCTTGCGCACACCTCAGCCACTGTCATCCCCTCCTGGCTCTTTCCCCCCCCCCTCTCTCTCTCTCCCTCCTCCGCTCCTGACCACGGCACTCCGCCTCCGTGCCTCACCTCTCCCCACCTTCCCTTCCCCTCATTCCCTCTTCCATCTCCCTGTCCCCCCCCACTCGCCCCCTCGACCCCTCACGCTCTCTGCCCCACAGGTGGAGCAGAAGCAGCGCTATGCGGTGTGGAAGGCGGCGGACATTCGCAGGGCGCTGGCGGACGGCAGGCGCCCCACTCCCGGCCCGCCGGGGGGCGACGCCGATGCCGCCGCTGCTGCTCCCGCCGATGCTGCCACTGATGCATCAGCCCCTACCGTGGCCCCGCCTGCAGCGCCCTCGTTCCCCTCAGCCGACTCCCTGGATGCCATGTTCTCGGGCTCCTCCTCCTCCTCCTCCTCCTGCTGCTGCTGCTGCTGCTGCTGCTGCTGCTGCTGCTGCTGCTGCTGCTGCTGCTGCTCCCAGCTCCTATGGTGCCAATGCTGCCCCAGCTGCCCCCACTGGCGCCAGTGCCACAGGCGGTGCTGGCAGGCTGCAGGTGGCGAGGCCGGTGGGAGGTGGGAGTGCTGCTATGCCCAACCCTCATGCTCGAGGAAGTCCGTATTCTCAGGGCCACGGGGACTACTCGCAAGCAACCCAGGGGCAGGCAGCACAGGCAGCACAGGCGGCACAGGCGGCAGAGGCATGGCAGCGGAGCACACCCCAGCCAGACAGTGCGTTCATCACCTCCCTTGCGGGCGCCCCGGCTACCTCTGCTCCCTCCCTGCCCTCCGCCCCCTCGTTCACCTCCCCACCAACCTTCACCCACTGGACTCCCGACTCTCACTACTCATCTGCCACGCCACCCACCACTGCCATCCCCTCCGCCCAGTCAGCCCCGCCAGCCCCAGGAGCAGGCGGGTGGGGCCAACCTGCTGCTGCTGCAGCGCTGGCTTACCAGCCAGCACAGGCAGCAGCAGCAGCAGCGGCGGCGGCAGCAGCAGGTGCCTTCACAAACCCCATGTTTGCCACTCCGCCTGCCCCCAATGCAGCCACTGGTTCTGCCCCTGCAGCCTTTTCCTTCATGCCAGGGGGTGCTACTGCTGCCAGTGCCAGCCCAGTCGTGGGGGCCGCGGGGGCTACATCAGAGGCACACCCATCGCAGGCGTCCCCACATTCGGCGTACGGTGGAGGTGATGGGGGTGTGGCGCCAAACGGAGGAATGGTTGGAGGAGCAAGAATAGGGCAGAATATTGCAGTGGCAGCAGCAAATGGGCCTACTGCTTCACCATCTGCAGGTAGCTTCTCAAGCTCTCAAGACCCAGGGCCTCGCGAGGTAGCGGATGCGCACAAGGCTGCTCGATACGCCGTGAGTGCGCTTGCGGGTAATGACGTTCCAACCGCTGTTGATTTTATCAGAAAGGCGTTGGCTTTGCTGGAGCCCGGTCGTGGCTATTAGGATGTAGAAAGTGGAATGTGTGTTTGGGGTAAAGCAATATATTGTTCATGGCACAACTATATTGTTAATGGCACAACCATAGCGCGGATTGGATGGCTTTCTGGTCCAGTGGGAGTGTGATCCAATCGACAGCTGTTGCGCAGCTGTGTGTTTGCCAATGGACCAACGAACGACACGCGTGGCGCTTGTGCTGAACGAATAGAAATTGTCTGCGGCGCGGCTACCTTCGTTATTTCACTAAAGGGGTGATCAAAGTACTGCATCGCTCGGCGAATCCTGACGGTTGGAGCATTTGATCCGAGGGTTGACATTCACCGACGTTCCTCGACGTCGAGGTGGTGCAGTACTTTGATCACCCCTTAAACGCCACGCCGCTCATCACCACAGGGTCAAAGGCTGACTCTGTTCAGGTGTTGCGTGGGTGACCCCCACCATCCGTCGAATATTTTCTTGTGTGCCCTTTCCTGAATCCTGCTCCACCAGTGAAAGATTGGCCGAACCAGTGAGGAAATCGCTGCCTGTCATGGCACTTGAAATCGAGTGAATGTGGATGTCCACACAACACCCTTTCAACGGGGCAAATTTCTCAAGGTTCCAGCCGCAAATCCTCCTTTCTCGTACGGCTGGACAACTTTTCCAAATCTCTCGAACCACGTGGAATTAGTTACCAGAAATGGTGATAGCATCACCCGGAACTTCGAAAATCCATTTCTCAAGTGATTCTATTGTTCCACTCTATTACACCTGATGCCTGATTGAGCCCCTCCCGGTTGCCTTGTGAAGGGGGCGTATAAGCTGTATCGAGCATTTCGCATAAGTTTCGTCAATTCGCAGCTAGCTAAAAAGGACTCGCAGGTGCTTATATAATGGATCTGTAACCACATCCGTTGACATTTTGACTTCAGTCTCTTCAGTTTGACTTCGGTCTGTTCGTTACTATTGGTTCATAACCACGCGACGCGCTTGTAACGTGGGTGCAACAGGCTGGGGAAAAAACCTCGGGTGCAGCGTTTCCATCCGGTGCAGAGCAAATTCGCGTGCATGGGGTGGGCATCAGCTGTACGTAATGTATCCATTCGGCCTGGTGTGAAATGAAAATGTAGGGCAGTCCAGACCTGACTTCTGTCATCAGCATGACTCCTCGCATGTCGATTCACTCCGCGCAATGCACCTCGCAATGCTCCACACCTGACCAGATTCCCCACAAACAGTGGTCCACTGTGTCCCTCCTCCCCCTCAGTCGTGCACCGTACGGATGTCTGCATTGGGGTTGTGGAAATTACAGGTCTTTGTTATCTTCACTCCCCAAAATCATCAGTTTCCACTGTTTCCGTGTAAAGTTGACCAATTAGGCATGGCAGAAACCAAGGCCTCACCGCATTTCACGGCGTCGCTCGACACTTATGTGTTGCGTCCGTTGCAGCGCGCTTCGTCCATCATGGGGTCGGGCGAGCTTTGGCAGCGCGCTGCCGACATGGATGAAATTGTCCTCTACAAAATTTCAGAAGGAAAAAAGACTGCAAAAGCATTTTATGGGGACTGCTTGATGTTTTTTCCTGCCACCAATGCTCGTGGTTTATCATGTGAAATGCTAGAGCAATCTTCACGCTTGAGCTTTGTTTGAGGAATGATTGAAAGGTTTGCATGAGCAATCTTGACCAGGCTCGGCAAGCAGTGCACCAGCCAACGACCAGCATTGCTCATCCTCACTACAGCAAGCAAAACAAATCATTTAGGCGCCTTTAATAACGGATTAATTTTCACAGTACACTCAGCTTATCATAAACTAATTACGAAAAAAGAGAAAATGCAAAATTGGTAGGTACTATTATAATCGTAAAAGCATGACACATGAATTATCTTCTCTGCTAGGAACTGTAAGTATTGGTAGTACTTATATTTCAATACTTCTATTTCAACGCAACCTCACGTCAATAACAACCATTACTACAATACCTGGTCGGCCTTACCAATTAAACCCCAACATCCTAGATACCGCGTACAACATCCACACACAGCACAATTATCATGCAATAATGAACACAGTAGCTCATTTCGACCAGGAAGAGATTCTGCACCCAGTAGCACAAGCAGCAGAGTTAGGTCCACACAGCAAAGGTTAACAGAGATGCACCTACGAATCAGTCATGCCCTTAATATGCCTGGAAATGCACTGCTGGGCGGCCCTGAAGGAACCGCGATGAACTTTGCAATAATCTGGCGATAAATCTTCCGGAAGATATTAAAAATTTGGCGACAATATTCTCGAAGGCTTGACGATAATCTCGGAAGTCGCTGGTATAAGCGTTGTCATGCGCGCTTGTATTCTGCAACAACATAGGTGCTTGCATTAGCCAAAGCGTACTTGCCTGGAACATAAACTCACCTGAATGAGCACACAACCGGACCAGCGTCAAAAGGTAGCGTCATCGCAAGTTTCATGCAGCCTGGGCGAGTTTCACAGCTGAATCGTCCAGCACAACGGTTTTTTTTTATCCTGCTGGAGGGAGGATGTAGGAACAGATTAAAGAACATAAGTTAGCAATGTGAACGTAAGGAACGAACGGATAGACTGCAGCAGCCATTAACTCGTGCAATCTGAGCGAGGAAAACAGATAGAAATACTGGAGTGAAATAGAAAGTGCCTGACTGTGGAAGATTATGAGTTGTGAGAGAGAGGCGTGTTGAATGGGGTGCTGTTGTGTGGTGCTGGGTCGCACGTGAAGATTGTCGAAATGTTGGCGACTTAGTTCGCGAGGTCGTCAAAACTGGAGTCGGTTTGAACGTACCGCTCATACGGATTCAGAGGCATCATGACGATGCCTAGCGAAAAAATTGGAAACCCTACCTTGTGAGCTTCAGTTCGCCCAGACTAGTCCAAATCCCATACGTGCTGTCACACCAGATCGTGACAACGCACCTTCACAAGTGACGCGGTTTCCTGACACGTCAGCAAAACCTTATCTGACAAAAAATGTCGCTATAGTCTGCTCTGTTATAACGCCACAAAATTTCCTTCGACCTGAATTCTGTTTTTAGTTTCGCGCAAGCTCGAAACCACCGTACATCCAACACAACCGAAGTAAAAACGCTGTACCAATCCAATTTGGCACGTGCGGGGTGAGTTGGGTGCGAACCTGCTGGCGGCTGCAGAGACAATGGGGAAGGGGGTGCATTGTTCACCAATTTTTCAGCATAGGTTCTGCACTGCTAACCCTCGTAAACACTGTTTCTAGTGACCTCAGCCATTGCTCGTGCAATGGACAGTGCGCAAGGATGGGGGAAACCCACATTTGGGCATGGGATGTGGCGTTCCACATTTTGTAGAGTCGCACAGACGCACGAAGGCTCTGTCGCGAGCACCGCTGCGACGACGAATGGAGGGGCTGCGACAGGGAAGAAGTGGAGCGTGATGGGATCGACGGCGCGCAAGGTGCAGCGGATGCTGTTTGCCGACAAGTCAGACAAATCCGCGGTTTCTATCGCAGACAGAAAGTCCAAGCGCCTGCTGCCGTCGCCGTCAGGAGCGCGCCGAACAGGATTTGAGTTTGCGGGTCGGCAGCTGTCGCGTGGAGAGCGCCGAGAGCGTTGTGGATGATGGCGGAGAGGACGGCGCGGACCTTGGCCGACGACGCGCCTCGTCACAAAATTCCTGCCCCAAAAAAGTGTCCTCAAAGTGTGTTCAAACATGCCTCAAAGTATGCAACACGGGGCATACTTGTGACATTAAGTTGATCATTTCTGGGGGAATGGTGCTGCATACCTCGTGCATTGTTTTAAGAAACCCTCATCTCGCTACGAACACTGCTTTCCGCCACTAGGGGATCCAAGACAAGGGGTCACTCGTTTCTGTATAACGACGTGTAACAGTTGTGTACAGTAAAAACCACCACGTTTAAGAATATTTACGTGTTATTTGTATAGGTAAGATTTGTGATCATGCCATCAATCTTTATAAGAACTTCCACTCATTATAGGAAGCCTTTTGTATAGTCATATCTGTCTACCAACAGCATGACGTGTCACTACATGAGGTTTTAAAGTTGTTTATTATTGGTTATATAAAACCAGAATTACCCAGCAGTCACACATGCACAAATCAAACACGAAACATCAGAGGTGCTTGTTGCATCCGACTCTACAGTACAAAGCCTACAATAACAAGCTCTTAGAACCAATGCGCCATCCAACCTACCCCGGTCAAATGCAGGGGGAGATGAGGAGCCTCTATCAGCAGTGCAGTATCATTGCAAGAGAAAGAGCCCATCACTGCCGTCCCCTCTGCTTCCACATCCCTCATCATTGCCTCTCCCTCTGCTCCCTCATCTCCCTCGTTGCTACCTCCCCCTCTCACATTCCCCCCATCTCTGCCTCCCCAACTGCTCCCTCATCCCCTCACCTACTGCTCCCTCATCCCCCCATCCTTGCCTCCCGGACTGCTCACCCATCCCCCCATCGCTGCCTCCCCCACTGCTCCTGCTTTCCCCCCATCAATGCATCACCCTTAGGTGCCGCATCCCCCTTATCGCTACCTCCCCCGCTGCTCCCTCCTTCTCCTCGTCGCTACCTCCCCCAACGCTCCCCCACTCCCCCCCCGTCACTGCCTCCCTCACTGCTCCCCCATTCCTGTCACTGCCTCACCCACTGCTCCCCCATTCCCCCCATCGCTGCCTCCCCACCCTGCTCCCTCATCCCCCCCATCGCTGCCTCCCCACCCTGCTCCCTCATCCCCCCCATCGCTGCCTCCCCAACCTGCTCCCTCATCCCCCCCATAGCTGTCTTTCCCACCTGCTCCCTCATCCCTCCCAACACCACATCCCCCTTGTTGCCAAATCCCCCTCATCGCTGCCTCCCCCGCTGCTCCCTCATTCCCCCCAAAGTTGCCTTCCCCGCTGCTCCTTCATCTCCCCCGTTGATGCCTCTCCCTTATCGCTTCTTCCCCCTTAGATGCCTCAGTGGCCCCGTAGCTGCCTCATTCCCCTCGTCGCAGGAGACTGATT